CACATTCTGTATATATTTCAATCTTTCATTTCTGCATAATTTCTTACAAAATGTTTCCTGTATTTATATTACTCCTAAGGATACTTATAATAGTTTACTCAGATGATAATATTATATACTGGGCGTGTAATAAGAGCACCCGCTATTTTAACATTTGCATTAAAATAATCAACTCCAATACATAAAACATCAAATCCATCTTACTTATATTATTTGATGGATTTGTTAGCTATATGCAATGGAGAAAGCCCTGAAGAGGACTGTTTGCGATACTTTGTGTAGGCCTGAAAAGAGTTATGACACGGTGTTATTCATTTCGCGAAATGAGATTGGCGGCGTCCATTTAGCGAGACTCCAGCATTTGCTGTTGCAGTCGACCTCTTTCAAATTTTGGAAACATGTATCAATTGATATTTTTAATATTATTTGTTTAGATTATTTAATTAATATTGATTTTATTTACAAATTTGTTTATTATACAGAGGTTTTACCAAACTCATTCGGTATCGTGTCATTTAGTCATTAAAGCGTTCGCGCGGTCAACTGCTTAGCTGCGCCGCTCCTGATGCGATTCGTGGTGCGAATTTCATATGCTCTGTGGTTAAATATTGTCTGAGACTCATTTAAAAATTATTGAGTATCACAACATTTTGCTATTAACTCACTTTTTCATGAGGAATTTTTCAATAGGTATCGTCCTGTACGGTTGATTTGGATCACTCTATATATATCGAATGTTTCCTCTGATTTGATCATTTAAAATATCTCCATTGTTTTTGATGATACAGAAAAATTTTACGGGGAAAAGTTGTTCGATTGTGGAAGGGACACATATTATGATGAGCAAAAAATTTTTCTGAACGTCATAGTTTTTGAGATTTCAAGATCATCGCGATTTTTTTTAATGGAATAACATATTTTCATTAATGTAATAATATAGTTCATAAAAAAATAAATTCAACCTTATATGACATGTTGTCTTTTAGATGACCTTGGACATAAAAAAATCACATCTACATATATAGGAAAAAGAAGAGTTAATATTTAAGTAAGTAAGTTAATATTTAAGTAAATTTTCAATGAAGATATTTATTTACTTTAGTTCAAAAATAAATAAATATCTAAGTAAGTGCTCGAAATAATTGCCATTAATTGCCATACATTTTTGAATGCAATAAATAAATGATATTTTTACCAGGTATAAGCTTAAATTCGCTGTTTGCTCATAAGTGGCATTAGTGAGCGTACAAAGCTACCCTGGGCACACAACAAACTTTTTTTTATGTGTTTGACATCTGTCAACATTAACCAGTGCACATCATCAGCAATTTCATACAACAACATACATTTTTTCTTTCGTAATCATCTCTAGTTTTTTGCTAAAAAAAATCGAATGCTTGTGGAGGCCTATGGCGACAATGCTTTATCGGAAACAATGTGCAGAGATTAGTTTCGCCGGTTCAATGATGACAATTTTGACTTGAGTGACAAGAAGCGTGAAAATCGGCCCAGAAAGATTGAGGACTGTCAATTGCAGGCTCTTTTGGACGAGGACGATACCCAATCACAAAAAATGCTTGCCGAACAATTGGGTGTTTCTCAAGCAGTCATTTCCATGCGGCTACATGCCATGGGGAAGGTTCAAAAGATCAGAAAATGGGTGCCGCATGAACTGAACGATAAGTAGATGGAGCGACACCAAAACATATGCTAAATTCTGCTTGCCAGACAAAAAAGAAAATTGTTCCTACATCGGATTGTGACAGGCGATGAAAAGTGGATTTATTTTCAGAATTCTAAATGCAAGAAATCTTGGGTTGATCCCGCCCAATCACCAACATCTTCCTCAAGACCAAATCGCTTCGGACGGAAGACGATGCTGTGCGTTTGATGGGAGGGTGTCATCTACTATGAGCTGTTAAAACCTGGTGAAACTGTTAATGCTCACCGTTACTACCAACAACTGATCAAATTGCACCGTGCTCTGCGTGAAAAAAGGCCGCATTATCGGAAAAGACATGACAAGCTGATTTTCCTCCACGACAACGCACCATCGCACACGTCAACAAAACTACTTGGAGATCCAAAACTACTTGGAGATACTCAATTGGGAAGTACTACCCCATCCCGCTTACTTACCAGATCTGGCACCTTCTGACTATCACCTGTTTTCGATGGGCCACGCGCTCGCTGAGCGGCACTTCGATTCTTACGAAGACATTCGAAAATGGCTTGATGAGTAGTTTGCCTCGAAAGAGAAATTTTTTTGACGTGGTATATACAAATTGCCCAAAAGATGGGAAAAATGTATAGTTAGCGAGGGCAAATACTTTGAATAAATTTGTTTTTGCTTCCTAGGAAAAAAAAATGTGTTTTTCTGACTAAAAAACAGCGGATTTAAGCTTATACATCTGATACATTTTCAATGATTTCCGGGTGATTCTAATTGATGTCGATACATGCACGTCAAATTCTTTCTTGCATGTTTCCCAATGTAGTGGGAAACATTAATAAATAACAATGAATTCAACTTCTTAAATATCTCCATAGAAAAAAGTCAAGTGGTGTATAGTCTGGCGACCGAGTCGGCCAACAAATTCGTCCACCATGGCCAATCCAGCAATCGGGGAAACATTCTATTAAGCACATTGCTTGCATTATAAATAAGTGCATTATATGGTTGGACAACCATTCTGTTGTAATCACATTCTAATATGGCTCAATGGAACTTCTAATAATATTTGTAACTCATCTCTTAAAAAATTTGCATATTTTTTAATATTTAAATTTTCTTCCAAAAAGTGGATCAATAATACCACACCAGACATTTACACGGATGTTACTGTTATATTTATCGAAGCCAATGTGGATTGTCAACGGCCCCATATTGTGTTTACACAATATGTATTATTTATTTAACTGTCATCCATGATTTGTAAAAGATGACTCGTCTGTAAACAATATATCGAAGAATTGTTGATCAATCTTAACTGATGTAGAACTCATTTGCAGAAATAGGTAGGAATCTTTACCTATTTTGAAAATCATTATCATCAAAAAATTGATGTAACCATATGCGATAAGGAAAATTATGGCATTTCAATATTTTCCAAATACTTTTAGTAAATAAATCACATTGAATGATCTCGGAAAATTCTTCATTGAAAATGCGAAACAATCATTTATTTATCGCATTCAAAAATGTATGGAAGTTAATGGCAATCATGTCAAATATCTTCTGAACTAAAACTAAGTAAATAAATATCTTCATTGAAAACACTTAAGAATATTAACTCTTTTTTTTCCCATATAAATGTGATTTTTTTGTTCAAGATCATCTGAAGAACAACATATCTAATTTGTTTTTTTATGAACTACATTACTACATTAATGAAAATATGCTATTTCATTTTAAAAAATCGCGATGACTTTGAAATCTAAAAAACTATAACTTTAAGAAAAATTTTTTACTCATCATAATACGTGTCTCTTCCAATCGAACTTTTTCCTTTAGTATTTTCCCGTATCATCAAAAACAATACAGATATTTTAAATGATAAAGTTAGAGGAAGTACCCTGTATATGAATATGTTTCGTATATAACCATATGTATGTGTTAATATTTTTATATATGAATATTTATACATGTTCTTATAAAAATTATTTACCGGATTTTTTGTAAAAGATTTAAGTTATTTTATATTTTTTGTAAAAGATTTAAATTATTTTATAAGTTTATATATGAATATTGTATCTAATATATATATAATATAATATATGTATAAATAAATATATCTAAATATATAATACTTATCTTAATGAATAAGGCCCTGCGCACAATGGAAGAAATATTAGGAAATACAAAAAATAGGAATAAATTAATATTTCAATCTATCAGAAATCGTGTTAACTCCGGTGTAACTGATATCTGAGATTGAAATTTTAATATTTTTTTTTGTTCCTAATATTTGATATATTATGCGTTCTAATACAGTTGTTAAATTATAAAATAGTTGTAGAGGAAAGCCACCTATTATAAGATGAGCCTAATATGAGATACCGACGTTTCCGCTATATTAATAAACGCTATCTATTGGTTCCACCACGAATTTATTGCTCTTGGATTTAAAACTATTTAGTGGAAAATTCATTATTAAGTTATGTTCGTAATCATTGTAAAAAAAGATTTTAGAATTTGAATGTCTTCCAGTTTTATTGAAATGAAGTATTTTTAAACTTTGTTTATTATTTAATAAATAAATTTTGGCAATATATTCTTCATGTAATGATAGAGTAAGATCGTACTAATAGAAAAATATTTTGAATTGCTTAATTACAAAAGTTAGATTTAATGATCGTAAAAGTAGAAATTATAATATAATATATCCAGTATTTTTAATACTGAAATATTGACTTTAATATCGAAATAACCTATGCTCCTAATGTCATAGTTTTTAAAGTATAAATCTTATTGTACAATAATAAAAAGAACAACTGCAATGAACATCAAGTGCTTATTTCTGCGATATTTGATTCCAACTACCTGAAGACAAGTCTTAAATAAATACATCGCGTGCTCATTTTGCACGCACTGTGTTTGTTTGTATTTTACAAGCACTAAATTTTTTAATTGCAATACTGATGTACTTTAAGTTTTATTATCGATTTCTCAGAGCATTTCATATTAGGAGTAATTTTTTGATTTTGCAATTTGCTCACTTTTTACATTTTTTAATTTAAAAAAAGAATAGAATCGAAATAAAATTTACATAACATTATCCTAAAGCTTACTAAATTCTCTGCAAAATAACTTATTTTTCTATTTAATTCTGTCCATATAATATTTACTCAAAATGCATTCGGTATCTCATAATTGAAATCTTTCCTCTATGCGTATGTTCATGCGCGTGCGTATGTAATGGTGATGATAATGGGAATTTTATAAAAATTTGCATACAACAATAAGAATAATAATAAATTATATTTTTGTAAAATTTTAGCAAAGATGTACGACTACCCGTTCAACTGCAACGAGCTATGGCGGCGGAAGCCGAAGCTGCACGTGAAGCTCGCGCTAAAGTAAGGCAATGTATATGAAAATGTATAAGAAAAAAAAAATAATTATGCATATTAAGAGCGACTTTACAGATTTCAATAATCTTGATGTTGTCAAGGCCATGATTTCAAATCACCTCCAACAGATTTTAGTCATCGCTCGTTATTCGCTAGTTATGAACAAAATAAGTTTAAAAAGTAATATCTTTTTTCTATTTATTCTACTACATAAAACGTAAAACAAAAATTTTGTTTTAAAATAATCCTGACTAAGGACACACGACTTGCCATGAGAAATGAGTTCAATTCCACTTCCCTTTGCCAAAGAGCGCATGACTCGAGCGAATTTCACCCTACTTCTCCCTCGGTCAAGGGACGATCGAGTTTCCACGCGAAGCGAGTTCTGAGCAGAGGAGTAGATGAAGTCGACCTCGCTTCGCATAAAAAGTCGGACGCCGCTTGATACGAAAAGAGATGAAGTGAAACTCGTTTTGCGTGAAAAGTCAAACATCCCTTCACAGAGAGGAGGGAGTGGGCTTCGTTTTGCGTGGAAAGCTTATGCCTACTGCAAATTGGACGCGATGAACGATAAACGACAAGCAATATCCAATAAAGGTTCTATTTTTTCTCATATGACGACATAAAACAAAGCTCTCATTGTGCAGTAGATATTACGCTTTTAGGCAAGGTGGGAGAGAAGTACGTTTCGCGCGCGCGCTTGGAAAATCCTGTGCCTCTAAATAGATGGAAAGAGTAATAGATCTCGCTTCGCGTAAAAAGTTAAACATTTCTAAACATTTCTAAACAGAGATATAAGATATTATTTAATATTGTAAAGTAAATGTACCATTTAGTGGACATGACCAAATTGTTGGACAAAATGACAAAAATTTTTAATTTGTATCATTTTTTTAATATTAAACTTTTTGTTAATACATATGATTCTAAATAAATTTTTAATTAATTTTTCATATTATTTAAAAATTAAGTATTATATAATTTATTCATATTAGAAATAATACTTCTGTATAAAAAAATTTTGAAATAATGTAACGATGACAACGAGTAAAACATTTCGATGTCTAAAGCGAAAGCTTTAGGATTAGAAATATTTTTCTTTATTATACAGGATGATTTTAACATATTTCGTTACCATCATGAGCAGGTGGAGTGAATCGAATTGATTCGAAAAATCCTCTACCATTTTGCAATTTTCGTAACAGTTAACAAGATATTAATTACTAAAAATTATCA